GCAACACAGCTAATTTGTGTTCAGTAAAGAAATTGGCAGAGTTAATTACCTAATGAGAATAAGCTAGGTGGTTTGAGTCTGCTGTCCCACCACAAACAACAAATTTTAAGTTTTTAAAAATTCACCTTTAAACTGTTTGAAAAGCTGAAAAGATGGCTAAGGAACTGCAAGGTTAAATTAGGAGAGAAAGCCTGGCCCAAGGAGGCAAGTAGATCATCAGAGCACTAAAATCAGTTTTGCCTTTTAGATATTTGCCAAAACACAAATGGGCTTTGGTTGATCAACTCAAAGAGCAGGAGAAATGAAACAAAGCTCAGAGCGTGTAAAGTTGTAAGTCTTGAAAAGTTGCCCTACACATTAAGCAGGGAGTAGGTTTACATTAGAACTAAACCTGCTCCCTGCTTAATGTGTGTATTGTAGCACATACCTGATTAGTAATAATTTAAAAATCCAGTAATACCAAGTGTTGGTAAGGATATGGAGCAACACAACTCTGATATACTGCTAGCAGTGATGCAAATTTAGTACCATCATTTTGGAAAAGAATTTAGTGTTTTCTAATAAGGTTGAAGATAAATGTATTCAGTGACCTGGCAGCTCCATTCCTGCATATACACCACTTCCATTCCTGAGTATATACCATGGAGAAAGCATGCTCGTTTGCATTGTCCTTTGGGATAGCACTATCAGAACTAAACCTGCTCCCTGTCCTCCAAACTCCAGGGGACTGTAGAAAAACCTGCCTGGGCAGTGAGCAGACTAGAAAAGGAAAAAGGAAAACACATCCCTGAGAAGTTACTGCTGGCCCACTTACAGATTGGTACAACACAGACTTTGAGTGGGTAGGCCAAGGAATCTCAAACAGTGAATCTCACATAGATAATGCTGCCCAGGAACCTAGCAGAAGCAAACGTAAAACTTCTCTGGAAAAGGACATATGTATCCTTACCTCAGCAACTCACTTTCCTACAAATAATTTTCAAGGGCAATAACCAGTTGAAAAATTACCAGAGCACTCAAGAAAACAAGGCAGAGAGAGAACTAACAGGAAAAAAAAAAATGTGTTTTTTAAATGCAGCAGAAATACATTAACATAGCCAATTGGCATAGTTTTCAAGCACAGATATAAAATAAATAAGCTTACTGTATTTAACAAAATAAACACAAACAATGATTGCAGAGAACAGTAAACTGTAAAAAGTGGCATAGCAGATTTAAGGAGTACCAAATGGGACTTTTAGAAAAGAAAAATGATAACCAAAATTAAAATCTCCGTGAACATTTTGGCAGTACATTGCACTCAACAGAAGAGAGAATTAGGAAATTAAAAGATAAACTAGAAGAAATTACTTCACTGCTATACAGAGAGAGACACAGTGGTGGAAACTGCAGTAGCAAAGTGGAGAAGGGTGTGGAAAACAACAAATGTAGGTTTGATGGAAGCTCTAAAGAGAGAGGAGAGAATGGCTGAGAATTTTCCAGATTTGGTGAAAGACATCAGTCCCAAACAGGAGTAGTGAAAAGAAACACAGACCTAGACACATTGTAGAGAAAATTCAGGGGGAAAAAAAAATTTTAAAGACATTACCTTCAAAAGAATATGACTTTTTAATACCACCAGAAGCCAGTGGGATGATAGTATACTGAAAGAAAATAACTCCCAGTCTAGATTTCTTTTTTTTTTTTTTTTTTTTTGAGACGGAATCTAGCTCTGTCACTCAGGCTAGAGTGCAGTGGCACAATCTCGGCTCACTGCCAGCTCCGCCTCCCGGGTTCACGCCATTCTCCTGCCTCAGCCTCCCAAGTAGCTGGGACCACAGGCGCCTGCCACCACGCCCAGCTAATTTTTTTGTATTTTTAGTAGAGACGGGGTTTCACCATGTTAGCCAGGATGGTCTCCATCTCCTGACTTCGTGATCCGCCCACCTTGGCCTCCCAAAGTGCTGGGATTACAGGCGTGAGCTGCCGTGCCCAGGTCCCAGTCTAGATTTCTACACAGAGTAAAAATATATTTCAAGAATGAATTATATTTGAAAAATATATAAATGAAATATAATTATCTTTGAAAATATATAAATGAAATATATCTTCAAACAAAAAGAATTGATCAGCAAGTCATTGCCAAAAAAGTTCTAAAGAATAGACTTTTGGCAGAAGTAAAGTGAGCATGGATGGGAGGATTCATTTGCAAGAATGAACAGCAAAGGAAGAGGTAAATATGAGAACATGTATATATGATAATGTCTATGGGGCTTAAATCAGAACAAAGAAGTAAAATATCAGACAATTTGTAAATGGCAGGACAGAAGTGGTGGAAAATGGAGTTAAAGCTTCTAGGATCTTTGTATTATCCAGAAGGAAGTAAAGTAAACTTTAGACTTTGAAAAACGAAGTATATCTCTAATTTCTAAGGCAACCAGTAAAAAGAAATAGTAAAATATGTGTAACTTCTAAACGAATAGAAGGGGAGAAATGGAAGATTTGTTTCCACTTATATTCAACAAGCTGATTCTCAAATATATATAGGAATGCAGAAGGCAAAAAAATAGCCAGAATGTTCAGAAAGCAAATGAACAAGGTCGGAGGACTTTCTCTACTTGATAGCAAGATCTATTATAAAGCTACGGTAACTAAAGATTGGCATTAATACAAGGGACAGATAAGCAGATGGAACTAGTATAAAACCCAAAAACAGACCTATATATTTATGTATACATGACATACAACAGAGGTGGCACTGCAGAGCAGAGGGCAGACCTTTCGTGACATGTTCAGTCACAAAGTCAACTCCAGATGGGTTAAAGAAAAAGCATAAGGCAAAACATGAATTTTTTTCATAAGATAATTTCACATAGGGAAATGTTTTTTTAAAAACAAGACCAAAGGCTGGGCACCATGGCTTACACCTGTAATCCCAGCACTTTGGAAGGCTGAATTGGGTGGATCATGAGGTCAGGAGATGGAGACCATCCTGGCTAACACGGTGAAACCCCATCTCTACTAAAAATACAAAAAATTAGCTGGGCGAGGTGGCGGGCGCCTGTAGTCCCAGCTACTCGGGAGGCTGAGGCAGGAGAATGGCGTGAACCTGGGAGGCAGAGCTTGCAGTGAGCCAACGTCGTGCCACTGCACTCCAGCCTGGGCAACAGAGTGAGACTCTGTCTCAAAAAAAAAAGAACCAAAAAGCCATAACAATGAGAAAAAAATTAAATTAAAATGTTAAACTTTTGGTCATCAGAAGCAGCCTTTAGAAAGGGTAAGAAAAAAAAAAAAAGCCATGGGACGGGGAAAGATTTGTAGTATGTATCACTGACCAAGGGCTTATATACAAATTGTGAAAAGAACTCTTTTTAAAAAGGCAGACAACTCCGGCATTTCACAAAAGAGGGAGGAAGGGAGATTCAATAAATATGTGAAACTAGATTCACCTCGGTAGTAATAAGGGAAATGGAAATGCAATTCAAACCACAATGAAATATTGTAACACACCAGATTGGTAAAAACCAGTGGTAATAACTTAAAAATCCAGCAATATTAAGTGTTGGTAAGGATGTAGAACAACATAACTTTGATATACTAGCAGTGATGTGAATTTAGTACAGTTACTCTGGAAAGAGTTTAGTATTTTCTTTTTTCTTTTTTTTTTTTGAGACAGAGTCTTGCTCTGTCGCCCAGGCTAGAGTGCAGTGGCGCTATCTCAGCTCACTGCAAGCTCCGCCTCCCAGGTTCACACCATTCTCCTGCCTCAGCCTCCCCAGCAACTGGGACTACAGGCACCCGCCACCACGCCCAGCTAATTTTTTTGTATTTTTAGTAGAGACAGGGTTTCACCGGGTTAGCCAGGATGGTCTCGATCTCCTGACCTTGTGATCCGCCTGCCTCGGCCTCCCAAAGTGCTGGGATTACAGGCGTGAGCCACCGCGCCCGGCCTGAGTTTAGTATTTTCTAATAAGGTTGAAGATAAATGTATTCAGTGACCTGGCAATTCCATTCCTACATATATACCACTTCCTTTCCTAAGTCTGTACCGTGGAGAAAAGCATGCTTATGTGCATTAAGGATATTCGTAGCAGCATTGTTCTTAATAGCCAAAAATCTGTCCATGAAGAGTAAAATGGAAAATGGTGAATATTATAAACAATGAAAATAAACTTTGGTTACATGTAACAACGATGAGTCCACAATGTTGGAGGAAAGAAGCAAGACAAAAGAATATATATGGTATGACCCAGTTTATATAAAACAGACAACACTAAAAAGTATTGGTTATGGCAAGCCTCGGCAAACTTTCCTTTAAAGGCAAGATGATAACTATTTTAGACTTAACTGCCACATAGTCTCTGTCACAACCAAAAGCTACTAAACTCTGCCACTGTAGGGCAGAAGCAGCCCTAGTCCAACCAAAGCTGTGTTCAGCAAGAACGAACACCTACTTTATGGATACTTGTATTCAAGATAAAATTACTTTTAAAAGTGAGGGAACGGGAGGAGGAAAATGGTAACCATAAGAAGCTTTTGGAGAAGGGAGGGATTTATGATCAGGGAAGGATGAATGTGGACTTCAGGATGCTGGCAGTGCTTGCGTGTGGCTTGCGTGTGGAGGTTGCCCGGGTGTTCACTGTATCTTAAATTCTGTAAAAGTTGCACCACAAGTTGTATGTCTTAAGTTTTAAAAAATAAAAATTTCAGTGTTTCCTTAAATGATTAATTATTCAGTTTTATGTGGATTTTTGTTTGCTTTTGAATTGCCCTGCTTACTTGCTGAAATGTGTCAAAGAAGTATTTCTAAAAGAACTTAAATAATATAAGACTATTATCTTCCATGTGATTTTTTTAAATCACAAACATTTAAAAACATAGAACACTACTTTGGATTAATAATTCAGGATATGACCACTAAATAATATATGTCAGAGGCTTAGATATAATATAGCTTTCAGTGACAGTCTTGGCTTGTTCACACCGAAGGATTACAGCTGTCGTCTTTCTCTTATTCGCAGGCTCAGTAGATGAAGGCGTTTCGGAGGGGTTGCCTACACTTCAAAGCTCGTCTAGCACTGCCGCTCCTCCAGATGATGACGACCGGTCAGTACTGACAGCATTTCGTTACCTCGTAGGGGTTGTGTTTACAACTCCAAATTCAAACATTTCATCTCAGAGTTGTAGAAGTGTATTACAACTTCACTTCAGTATACTTTTCAGAGTAATGAAGTAGCATCATCACATTATAAATTAGAGCACCTGTACAAGGCTTTTTTTTTTTTCCCAACGTTTCCAAAACTACCTAGTCCCGTTGCTTTAAATCATATCTGTATCAAGTGTTCGCAAACTATGAACCGCAGGCTAATTCCAGCCCACCACCTTTATTTGTAAATCAAGTATTATTGGAACACAACCACGCTCCTTTGTTGACATGTTGGTGGTGGATGGCGGAGTTGAGTGGTTGAAACAGACTGTATGGTGTGCAAAGTCAGAATGTGTGCTGTATGGACTGCTGCGAAAAACGTCTGCCAAAGTCTGATCTGTATACCCATAACTCCCTCCCTGCTTGATATTTCCACATAAACGTACACAGGGCATTTCACATTTAATAAGGCCAAGACAGAACTCTTGATTTCTGACTCCGTGTCTGAATCCTGCTTCTCCAGCCTTTCTCCCATTTCAGTGAGCATCATCATTATCCCCTAATTTCTCAAGCAAAATCTCTGAGGATTATTCTTAATCTTTTTTCCTTACCACTCTTCATCTCCCTCCTTGCTTAGTTAATCCTTAAATGAGTCCTGTTAACTCTGCCTATAAAACATATCCTTGTCTACTTTTCCAATCTGTACGGTAGCCACCCTACTCTTAAGTCGCCCACCGTCTTTTGCCTTGACTACTGCAATAGCCTTCCAACTAGCCTCTGATTGCATTCTTCCCCAGTTCGAATCCATTTTCCACGTAGCAGCCAAAATCATCTTTTCTTTTTTAATTAGTCAGATTATATCACTGTTTTAAGCTATAGATTCTTAACATTCTTTATTCATACCTAAAATCTATAGGCCTTGCTATGCCTTCTAAAGCCCTACATGATATGACTTCTGCCTAACTCCTTTCAGACTAGTCTCCCTCTTACACTACATTCTAGCCTCATAGACCTTTCACAGTTCCTGGAGTACTCCATATTTGTTCTTGCCTTTGGGCCATTCTGTCACTTTAGGACCTTTGCCTGAAAAGCTTGCTCTCTCAGTTTTCGCAGTGTTGGCTCCAGATTCTTGACCTTCAGATCACTGTCTTGGTATCAGTTCTCAAGGAGGCTTTTCCTGACCACCAGTCTCAAGCAGCACCCAATCACTATTAGATCCTTCTAATTTAATTCTCTGCTCTGATAATTTCCTTGATTATTTATTATCTGTGTCTCACCCACTGAATGTAGACTCCACTGAATGATTGCATTCTTCCTCAGAGAAGGTCCAGGACAATCTTAAAAACTGTATTTGTTGAAAACTTGAAAGATTCAAGGGACTCAAATTAGGTTTATTTTTCTCGAATAGCTAAACCTGGTAGGGGAGGTTATCAACCGGAATCATTTGTGGATTAATGAAAGCATAAACAAACAGCAGTGTGCCTAGACTCCTTAATTTCAAGTATTAATCAGGTTGTTTGTTCTGTGTTAGATACTGTTCTGCATGGTAGTAATATAGAGATAAGATATGCAGCCCCTTGCCTCAAGGAGCTCAGTCAGTTTTGGAGGAAGTATAAGGATTGAAGATAGACAAACAGATTACCATAAGTGATCTGCAGAGCTCTGTTGCCCTGCATAGGAGGATGCCTACCGCAACCACTGAAAAATCAAAGACGGCTTCCCTGAGGAGCATGTGGCTTCCTAGCTACATTTCGTAAAATGAGTAGGCATTTGGTATAGGATGTGTTTGGGGAGTATGACAACAAATGAGGCTAGAAAGGTACAGAGAGCTCAGATCATGAGGAATCGTGTATGCCTTGCAAAGGGGTTTGATTTTATTCTGAAGATAACAGCCATTGCAGAATTTTAGACAGGGGACTGATTTGATCAGATCGCTATGATACAGTGAGAGGGATGGATTAGAGGAGTGTGGAGCTAAATGGAGAGAGTTATTAACTCAGGCTTGTATTAATGAAGGCCTAAATTTAAGAAGTGGTTAGAAGGAAAGAATTGGCGAGATTAAGGACATCAAAGGTAAAATAGTTGATGATATGTTCTGTGGTTGTATGTCATTCTGGGCTGGGTGCGGTGGCTCATGCCCGTGATCCCAGCACTTTGGGAGGCCAAGGCAGGCAGATCACCTGAGGTCAGGAGTTCGAGACCAGCCTGGTCAATATGGTGAGACCCCATCTCTACTAAAATACAAAAATTAGTCGGGCGTGGTGGCAGGTGCCTGTCATCCCAGCTACTTGGGAAACTGAGGCTGGAGAATCACTTGAACCTGGGAGGCGGAGGTTTCAGTGAGCCGAGATCACGCCACTGTACTCCAATCCAGCCTGGGTGGCAGAGCGAGACTCCATCTCAAAAAAAAGACAAAAGGCATTCTGGACAGTAACATTGTTTTTCATATTGTTAGTGAAACTTGAAATCTAACAGTTAAACTGTTTGAAAAAGTCTTTAAGTGTTTTATCTTTTTTCATTTAAAATTGACCTGTAGCAGTGTTTATTCAGTTTAAAAATCAGAGCCTGGTTGCCTTCTTTGGTCTGTTTTTTTTAGATTGGAAAATGTTCAGTATCCCTACCAACTCTACATTGCTCCTTCTACCAGCAGTACAGAACGACCAAGTCCAAATGGTCCCGACAGACCTTTTCAGTGTCCAACCTGCGGGGTGCGTTTCACCCGTATTCAGAACCTAAAGCAGCACATGCTCATCCACTCAGGTAATGTCACCTTCCCTGTTGTTGCATAAGTGAACACTCTAAAAATAAACATTTTATTTTGGAATCCCAGTTAAAATAGAAAACAGGGGTTTCTGAGTTTAAAAAAAAACTCTGAGAAGTCAAATGAAAACAGATTAGCTAAGGTTTATTGCCAAAATGGTGCAGTGTCAGAAAGCTGTTTGCCATCAATGTTAAGTATTCTGATTAAAAAAAGAACATAAGGTGATATGGATTTAGTACTTTGTAAATAAAGAGACATATTAGGTGTGCACATAGAGGTGAGATAGATAAGCACAACCACAGATGGTAAAGCAAATAGGGTTAAAAGGGTCTGTATGGGTGTTCTTTGTGCTGTTCTTCTTATAACATCTCTGTAAGTTTGAAATTATTCCCAAATAAAAGTGTGTTTAAAAATGTAATATTTTCTTGCAATTTACTTTCAGTTTTACAGTCCTAAATCTCTGTGTGCCCTGATGAGTCAGCTTTGTAGTTTGTACTTTTTTAAAACATAAGAGATATTTTGGATAAATGTATAGAAGGGATTTGAAACTTTAGTTCAGTAATCACATGAAGGCAACAGGATTCTTGTGGGTAAAACACTGACCTCTGATGAGTAAGAGATCTCTGCTGCTGTTTCAGCTGCGAGAGTTACTAGCTCACTTTCCCCTTCTGTAGATAGGTCTTACAGTCCCTGTCCTAGCACCAGCTCTCTGTGACTTTGTTCAGTCAGCAGATTGTGTTTTGAAAGGTTTTAAAATTTTTTCCCCAAAACACTGTGATAATGCATTTGAGGAGACTATTAGTACACTTTATAACTCATTTATTTCTATCAGTATTACCCAAAAAACCCCATTTTATCAAATGATGGTTCTGTCATGCTCATTGCATTCAGAGATGTTAAAATTGTTCTTTCTTCTTCTCATTTCTCTGTGAGATAGGGAACAGAGAGTAGGTACTGATGATTTTCACATCTTTTCAATATAAGCCTTTCTAATGAAATGAAATAATACATGGTGTTACATGGGGATTTGGGTTCTATCTACATACTGTAGTTAAATTGTGTTTTGAAGTTAGTAAAATAGATGATTTAGAAAAGTATTCAAAAATCAACTTCAGTAGACATTACCTAGTTTGCCTCCCCTACTGCCTTTTTCTTTTCCTTTTTAAGCACTTGTGACTTTTCACATATTCTTTTTTTTTTTTTTTTTTTTTTTTTTGAGACGGAGTCTGGCTCTGTCGCCCAGGCTGGAGTGCAGTGGCTGGATCTCAGCTCACTGCAAGCTCCGCCTCCCGGGTTCACGCCATTCTCCTGCCTCAGCCTCCCGAGTAGCTGGGACTACAGGCGCCCGCCACCTCGCCCAGCTAGTGTTTTGTATTTTTTTTAGTAGAGACGAGATTTCACCGTGTTAGCCAGGATGGTCTGGATCTCCTGACCTCATGATCCGCCCGTCTCGGCCTCTCAAAGTGCCGGGATTACAGGCTTGAGCCACGGCGCCCGGCCATGACTTTTCACATATTCTGCACATGTTCTGAGATACTGAATTAGAGTATGTTTTTACTGGTAATTTTTGTCTTTTCAGATGATCTATTGCTACAGAAATATAGTTCAGAAATTTGTAGGGTTTATGACTTTTCAGTTTATTTTTGTTTTTAGATATTTTGTTTTGCTTTATTTATAGGAATTAAACCATTTCAGTGTGACCGCTGTGGGAAAAAGTTCACCAGGGCTTACTCGCTAAAGATGCATCGCCTAAAGCATGAAGGTAAACGCTGTTTCCGGTGCCAGATATGTAGTGCCACTTTCACTTCCTTCGGGGAATATAAACACCACATGAGGGTTTCCCGGCACATTATCCGCAAGCCTCGGATTTACGAGTGCAAAACATGTGGCGCCATGTTCACCAACTCTGGAAATTTAATCGTGCACCTGAGGAGTCTGAACCATGAAGCATCAGAGCTAGCAAACTACTTCCAGAGCAGGTGAGGTGCACAACAAAAACCCAACCAGGAAAACTGCTTTCTAAACTCTCTTTTCCTGCTTTTAGGGCAGCCTTCTGTGTTTTTACATTAGGTTGCCAGCTAGTCAGTCCCTGATCTGATAAAATTTTGCTGAGTCTTCTAAGCATATAAAATTATAAACATTTTATAGTTGGTATTAAAAATATCTTCCTGCACAAGTGGACTACTTGTCCTCTTGAGATATTTTTTAAATAATAGAAGGTTTAAGTAATTCCGTATGGACCTTAAATAGATCTTATCGGAAATTTTTTTTTTTTTTTTGAGGTGGGGTTTCGCCCTGTCTCCCAGGCTGGAGTGCAGTGGCGCGATCTCAGCTCACTGCAAGCTCCGCCTCCCAGGTTCATGCCATTCTGCTGCCTCAGCCTCCCAAGTAGCTGGGACTACAGGCGCCCGCCACCATGCCTGGCTAATTTTTTGTATTTTTAGTGGAGACGGGGTTTCACCGTGTTAGCCGGGATAGTCTCGATCTCCTGACCTTGTGATTCGCCTGCCTTGACCTCCCAGAGTGCTGGGATTACAGGCGTGAGCCACTGCGCCTGGCCTTATTGGAAATTTTACCATGTCAGATGATACTTAGTGGTAGTGGATTACTTCAGACTCTGGATGTTAATAAAATTCTTGACCACTTCTCTCTATTTAAAAAAATTTTATATAAAGGAATATCCATTGGCCAGTAAGAAAAATTTTCAGTAGCAGCTATAATGGGTGTGATGGTTTAGATCATGAAGTCATTCCTATTTTCATTCAGTTTAGAGCTCTATTATTTTAATATTAATATATAATAGAATTACCTTTCTGATTTGTAGGGCATCCAAGGAAATCAGGTTCTAGTTCTAGCTCTGCCACTAACTGCTGTTGATTAAACGTGTCACTTTACAGATGAAAAAGCTTGTAACTTAGAGAAAGATAAAATGTAAGCTTTAAATGATGGTTTCTAAGGCCTCCTCTAGATATAAAACTGTTGTTTTAAATTGTTTATAAGAATTGTACTTCTGCAGGAATCCTTAGTTTCTAATTAAATGAAATTTTTACAAATTTTTTTTTTTTTTTTTTTTTTTTTGGAGACAGAGTCTTACTCTGTCACCCAGGCTGGAATGCAGTGGCACAATTTTGACTTACTGCAACCTCAGCCTCCTGAGTAGGTGGGATTACAGGTGCCCACCATTACACTCAGCTAATATTTGTAGTTTTAGTAGAGATGGGGTTTCATCATGTTGGCCAGTCTGATCTTGAACCCCTGACCTGAAGTGATCTGCCTGCCTTGGCCTCCCAAAGTGCTGTGGGATTACAGGCGTGAGCCACCATGCCCAGCCCAAATCTTTACATTTTAAGTCACCTTTATTTTTAAAACCTTTTTATTTTTTAATTGAATAGATGGGGTCTTGCAGTGTTGCCCAGGCTGAAGTGCAGTGGCTATTCATAGACACAATCATAGCGCACTACAGTCTCAAACCCCTGGGGTCAAGCAATTTTCCTGCTGGGACTACAAGTGTGGGCCACCATGCCTGACTTAAAACCTTATTTTTAAACAAATTCCAAATTATTCCTGCATAGATTTTATTTTTCCCCTCAACCAGACATTCATTTTGTTTAATGCAGTCATCTCTAATTCCGAATGTGTGGTTGCCATATCACTAAACCTTAGATTATACATATCATATTAAACACAGTTTGTTCAGGACTAAAATAGTGTTCCTGTTAACTACTCATGTTATCTTTATCTTCCCTGTGCAGAGCCCTGCATTCTCCACTCTTCTTCTCTAACACCTGAAGACTTTTTAGAAAACACAACATAGGGCATTCTAAATTGCTTTGCAGATGAGCAGATTTTAATTTTTTATTAATACTGAACAGTAAAATTATAACTTTATCAAGTCTAATTACATATATTATTGACAATTCTGGTATAATGAAATTTTTAGTTCAGTAATAAAGATCTAAATAAAGCCTCTAAGATAAGACTTATTTCACATACTTAGTTTCAATTACCAAAAAATGCTTATAAGTTGAAAATTTAGGAAATACAGAAAAGTATAAAGAAATTTAAAATGTTTTCTGATCTCAACACTTAAGGAAATTAGCCACTGTTTTAGTATATTTTACAGTCCGTGTTTCCTGTGGGGACCAATAATTACTTTTTGAAGATTAACAACCAATCTCAAGGCATTCATTTCCACATTCTGATTCAAAGATAATTTATTAGTATTTTCATATACCAAATGTAATAGCAGGATACACATAAATTACTTTGTACATTTCCCAACTTTATAGTAGATTTTGTATCAGGTCATTTATGCATAAGGACTTAGTTTCTTAACTAAGCCATGTCAAGTTTAGTAACACAAAGCTAGGTTTATATATCTCTTACTCAATGTATAATCAAGAAAAGTTAAGCATTACTCAGATGATCTTTGTTTAAGTGAGCATGCTACATTTGTTTTGTATATAGAAACTCCTCTGCATAGAACAAGAAAGGCTGTTAACGTGTCCAAAGTTATAATGAAAGTGATAACCTGATGTATTGGTGGTAGGGAAGATTGATACATTTTGGTTTTAATGGATGTTTTGGTTCATGTTTAGCAAAGTTTGTAAGTGGAAAGTTCCTGAGTTTTAATCTTCACCGAACAATTAGTGAAATGAAAAGTCCCAATTTTGTTGTATAAATCAGAGCTTTTTATTGTTGCTTATCTATTACTGGCTTGAAAATTAATTCCATATTTCGTCCTTTGCCTCTTATCTAGTGATTTCCTAGTACCGGACTACTTAAACCAGGAACAAGAAGAGACCCTTGTTCAATATGATCTTGGAGAACACGGTTTTGAAAGCAACTCCTCTGTTCAAATGCCTGTAATTTCACAGGTCTCCTCAACCCAGAATTGTGAAAGCACTTTTCCCTTGGGGTCTCTTGGTGGGCTGGCAGAAAAAGAGGAAGAAGTGCCAGAGCAGCCAAAGACCAGTGCTTGTGCTGAGGCAACCAGAGATGACCCCCCAAAATCAGAGCTGTCTTCTATAACTATTGAGTAATTTTGTGATTTGGCTTCAGTTTTGTTTTTTGGAAAGTGCCTGTGCTTGGTCTTGTACATTTAAATTTAATTTAATTTTTTAAACAAAAAAAGCCGGGTGGGAGGGAGGGAGAGATTGGGAAAGCATTTCCCTTTTCACTTGCTGAGCCCTGAAACTGATTTTATTTTTCATAACTGAGAGATTGCTTCTGTAAGTACACAATAACATGATGTTGAAACAGAAACTATGAGACTTAAGGAGATCTGGTTGACTTAAAACTTACACCAGTTTCTTCTTCCATTGTTAAAAGTAGGCTAACAACAGACCATTAGCTAGAGAGGAAATCTGATGATTATTGACCTTCCTGAGTTGAGAGGGTACATGAGAAACTAATTACTAAACAGCTTGTCAAATGGCCTGAGTAGATACTTAACGGCTGTACACAGGACATTGTATAATATTTTGTAAAGCCCGTTGTTTTTGGAAGTATTTATGGTAAGCTTTCTTAAAAATTATTAGGGTAAATACTTCTGAAATCCGGCACACTTTTTTTATTTTAAGCTTTGTCATTTCTGTTGTGATTTTTCATGGTGAAAGTTTGGTACTGAGATGGGCATTCTCTGTACCTTTATAGTACCACTCCAAAGGCAAAGAACCATGATTGACAACAGTCAAGCTGTGGATGAAATGACCAGGAACGGAGAATGAAGTATGTAAATCTCAGCTTCGTAGGAATTCTTCTTATATTGCTTTTCTGATTAAAATTGCTGTTTACCTGGTCTCTGAATGTTAATGCCTGACCATGTCATTGCCCGAATCAGTTTTCCCCTTGCCCGGTCAGTATGGTCTCTTGCATATATTGGCGTGCTGCCATATAAAGTAAAAATATTGGAGATATTCTATATTTTATGTATAGGTTTATGTATTGTTGGGGATGTTTTCATTGTGCTCTTTTGGACATAATGAAGAATTCTCGGTTGAGGCTACATCTTTTTTTTTTTATTTTTTTTTATTTAAGAGGATGGCATCTGTTGCCCAGGCCGCAGTATAGTGGCTAAGTCATAGCTCACTGCAGCTTCGAACTCCTGGGCTCAGGCCATTCTGTCTCAGCTTCTTGAGTATCTAGGATTATAGGCATGCTCCACCACACCTGGCTGACTTCGTTTTTATTTTTTGTGGAGACGAGGTTTCACTATGGTGCCCAGGCTGGTCTTGAACTCCTCGGCCAAGTGATTCTCCTCCTCTGGCCTCCCAAACTGCCGGGATCACTGCACCAGCCAAGGCTACATTCTTAACCCAACTAGATGGTTTACTGAATCCCATACGACAGCGATACGTTGTCCCTACATATTTTTAGACATTGCAAAGTTATTAAAAACAGTTACTATCGTTTTTACACAATGTAGACAACAATGTAAAAGATGAATATAGACTGTAAGATTTTCATCTATGACTCATAAATCTGGGAGAAAAAAGAAAATTGTTAAGACTAATGAGAAACTGAAAACCTTAAACTAATGAATATTACCATTTCTGCTGCTGAAAGTGTGAAGCTTTTCTGGTCTGGAGTTGAAATTTATATGATCCTCTAGACGGGTATACTTTTCATCTGGTGCCATTAAAGCGTCTCTAATACTGATCCTAAATATCTGTAAGTCCATGAACAGTGAACTTTGGAATGAGTTTCTGTGTAGATACCCAAAGTTTAATAATTATGAGAGCACCTGATTTGATTAGAAAAGAGACAGAAAATACAATTCTTTAGTCAAAACACAAGATCTGAATTTTGTTCAGGTGCTAGACCATACTAAATGTATATATTTTTAATTATAGTGATTTGTTTCAATTTTTTAGATTGGCTAATTCTGTAATTTTTTCCCCAAAAACATGTGAAGAAAGGAAAAGTAAATTAAATTCCTTAGAACTGTTTTAGGTTAGGATTCTCTGTCTCTGCCTATATTCTGCAGTCCTTAACTTGTTTTCAGTTCTTTACCTCACTCATGAACTTGTTTTTACCCATGTGCTCCCAAACAGAGGTGTGTTCTCTTCAGGAGAACCAGCATACACAGGTTATGATAGGCTGCCACTGTTTATGCTTCTTCACTGATAGGGTTGAATTACTTTCTGCAGCAGACTAGAATACTTCATATAGTAATGCTGTGTCTCCACTGGAGAGGTCAGGAATTTTAATGTCACGTTGTGGTCTTTAAAAACTGTTAGGCCTACCAATAGATAAATCTCAAAATTAATTCTAAAATCTGTATTGACAAGAATAGGTAAAATTATCACCAGGAATCATTGTTACCGTTAGTTCCAAGAGGTTTTTTTTTTTTTGGTTTTTGAAAGAGCAAGAGGAAAGAAATAAGAATAAAGAAATGTGTAAGAATGGTTTGCAGATTTATTGGTTAAAAGTGTTTTTTAGTACATCCCTGACCCTGAAAACTTCACATTCAGAGATCCAAGCACAGTTTTGGTAGCTCTAAGATATTCTGTGTTCTCAGAATGAAGGATTACCCATCACTGGGTATTCCTTCCCAAGTAGAAACTTTAGATTTTCACTGGTAATTACAAATTGCCAAGTTTTATGGGAAATCTGAATATACTGTGAAAATTCATATCTGGTTAGTTATCTGCTGCCCAGATCTTATCAATACCAGTAACTAACCAGAATTTACCATAAAATGATACAAACAAAGGCCTTTTTCTATTTCAGTGAGGGTACATTTTTCTTGATACATGTGCTTCAAGGATATTGGATCTGTTTATGGATCTGTTTTAGGAAACAGATTTGCAAGGGATAATTGTATATATAGTAGTATTTAGATTTATTTCAAATTCATCTTAGGGATGCCTAGATGCATAATTTTTACCAGGACATATTGAAAATATTGCAAAGAGATAGCCAGTTATATTATCCCATTCATTAGAAGTTACCAGTATAACTAAACATAAATATTCCAGTTTAGAGTACTTAAACGTAGCTATCTTTCTTAAAGCCAGGAGGGTAACTTTGTGGTATCTAAAGGGCTTAAATTTCAGAATGCAGAATAAATTGCCTTTTTAAAACCAAACATTTTATACAAGAAAAGCTTTTATTTTCAGTTTTTTAACTACCAAATAGGTGTGATGTACTTTAGAAGTAAACAAAAAGATGTTCACCCATGATAATGGATGTTAAATCTCCTGCAGTTGTTCTTCTCATGTTTAAAGGGTATATTCTCATAGTGGAAGCATCTAGCATGTCAGTGATTTCATCTAATTCAGAAACAAAGGGATTAATATTGGTCTTTATTTTTTGGTATTTTAAGTTTTATATAAATGGATGCAGATGGAGATTATCACCCACAAATATATTTAAGTGGATTTTTCTCAATTTGAATTTCAAGTAATTTTTTTATTTCAAGTAATTATGCATTTAGTTACATTGCCGGTTTTTTTAAGTTCTCAATTTCAGTAAGACAAAATATACTAAAATATTTAAATAGCTTCATTCAATCTTACATTTTGACATTTCAGCAACCATTCTGGCTTACAGTAATTAGGCCCCTTGTTATGAGACATGCCCTTTGTTATTAATAACTAGCAAAAAGAAAAACCTTTCATCTTGTTAAAATACTTTACCAAATGAAATAGACTAGTTAACACATCTAAAGTCCATAATTATTGGTAACTCAGTTACCTTCTAACTAAGGCTAGTTCAGGAGACTCTCCCAGTTTATAAATGGTTCCCTTGGGAGCCTTTGGAAGCTATATTAAATATTTCTTTATTTCTTGTTTTATTCTCTTAATCTAAATAGAGGCCAGTTATCTATTTTATCCATTTTTATCTTGAAGATTCTCAGATTATGTTTTAGTCCCTTTTAGCTTTAATAGTCCTTGAAAAATACATTACTGTATAATGTAGTGGCAATTCTGTAACACACAGAGAATTACTCTTATTACTTGAATGAATCCTAAAATTTTAATATTTTAGCTGAAAGAAGTTTGAGATTTGTGGAATTGATGAACAAAAGAATTAGAAACTTTCATATGGTACTTTGTTTCACTCATCTGCAAAGTATGAAGTTGTAATTCTGAAATATACATCCAAGTGAATGAGAATTAAAAATTTTCTGAATATTAATACTAACTGGGAAAAACAGAAAACTAGTGTGAAGTTTACAGTTAGAAGAAACAGACCCAAAGTTGCCAAAAGGTAATAAATAAATGTAGTTTTCACTGTAAGTTATTGATGTAAGATGCTTTATTTGTAATATATTTAGATTTTGAAAGTTATTGAGAGATGAATGTATAAAAGCTAAATTTTCTTTTCTGAAGCAGCGAAACAAAATTGGGGTAACAAGGAAGCTCTATGGTGGCAAACATGTCTGTGAGGAATATTAAGCACACTCCCACAGGCTTTAAACTCAAATCATGAACATTTAAATTAAGTCGTTCCTTATTTTGCCTATACCCATTTTTACCTTTCAGTGTCGTTTTTGCTTGACAGAGTATGGTGACAGAGTGTTTTTATTTGGAAAGTCCTCAGCAAGATGAATTAGCCAAAAGCAATAATGGTTCAGATTAAACAATGAAGTGGAATTGATTCAGTCCCAGGCCCAACTAAGGAACAGTTGCTCTCTGGGTGTCTCATTTTAGATGATCGATAAGTTGAGATGTTGTAATATTTATGGGGGGTTAAGCCTATGTCAATTGTGGGATGAAGACTGTTAGTACCACTACCATCAGTAGTCATACTTTTTTTTTAAACTTTTTACTAAACTAATACTAGACATTTCCACTCTGTCATAATTATATTTTTATGACAGGAAAATAAAAACAGTTCCATGTTTTTATAAATAGTCTCTGCAAAGATTTCAGATGTTATTGGTATCCCGGTTTGGCAGTATCTGAAAAATTGAGATTGCCTTTAAAGTGTTCATGCTACTTTTACTTAAGTAAACCTCCACTGTATAAGACCCAGGCCGGTTCCAACTAATACCAAGGTTTCTATGCGCATAATAGTTTACAAAGAACTTAAAGACTATGGATTAAAAACAAAAATTTTTTTAACTTTAAAATTTTTAATTTTTGTTCAAAGTATCTGGTTTATAAAGTCAAATTCTTTTATTATTTCCTTTCTCTTTTAAGTTGACTGATTTTGCTGATTAAGCGTAAAGTCCCAGGCACAGTTGTGATGACGTACTGATAAAATGGGTGCCTAGTGGGTTGAGGAGCTCCAGTGTCAAGACTTTTATTAAATTGCCCTTGTTTTCCCAAATGCCAATCTAGCCGTATTTAGATTTCATTATTCAATAAAACAGATTAAAAATCATCCCATAAATGAATGTTGAGGTTACCAAAGTACATCACCTGCTGAGGAAGGAGAAATCTTCCTGCTTTAAGGGAGCCCTGTCGTCTCTCCTTGACACGTTGTTTCCCTTGGTATTAGTGGAAGCTCTGTTCAAGATGGGAAGCCTTTCCTGCAGTTCTTAGAAACACCTGCTTTCTAAAGAGAGCCTTTTCTAGGATTAGGTTATGTGTGTTTTCTCTAGGAGATTTTTTATTTCAGTTACCAATTTAATTTTCAAGTTGACAGATGCTATGTGAAGTCTCTCATACTGAGAGTAGTCCATTAAAGTTTTGAAAGTTGCACTGCTTTTCATCTTTCAGGTACCTGAAATGAATGACATCAGGTGTTTGGAAGGAGTAAGATCGTAAACTTTATTCATTTTCTTCCTTGTACAAAGTGATGACTTCTAATGCTTATATCTCAAGGTATTTTTTAAAAAAGCAACAGTCCCTAATAGAGTAAAATTTGGTTTTGGTCCAAGTTCCCAATAATATATTTAATGTTTCTGTTGTTACTGGTGCCTCCTGTTGCATCAGATAGAGATTGCCTGCCTCTTTGTAGGGCACCCTTGTGGCACCTTATGTCCAACTTGGAGGATAGTATATGGCTTCTTTGTGCCTCTACTATCTTTTCAAAAGCCATTTTATAAAAATCCTAGGTAGCCTATTTTAATATTTAAATATATATATTTGTGAAAGAACTTTTACAACAGACTTTTTTTTTACTTTAAAATTCCTGTATTTCCATTTTTAAGAGTAAATTTAATCTCCAGGATATAGAAGTGTCTTTTTTCCAGAGAAGCATAATGAGAAAGTCAGATTGAGGTAATAGACCAGAATTAAGTGATAGAAGAAGCTGTTGTTTGGTTAAAGGACACAGGTTTGAAGGAAAAAAATTTTGATGTAACAAATTTTTAAATAAAATTTTGTTTTTGTTCTGTAATTTCATATTTGCTGCTACAGTAGCTCAATATTTTACAGGGCTAACATAAATCTGGCTCCATTTAAAAACTGGAGTACTTCCTAGTGCAGCCAGCCTAGGCAGAAACTGTACACATGGTCTTCCAGCTGGGTGACTGATGGTTTTGTGTAGCTGATGCATGCTTTAATATTTGCCTATAGCCCTGCAGCAAGGAAGTCGAGGTGGGGGTACTTTTTTACCCTGCCAGTTATAGCACTATGATTCTTTCTGGGCACTGGCATTTTGTGAAACTCTCAAGGGAAGGTGATGCAGGGGAGAAAATGTGAATTAAATTACATAGATGGGTGTTTTTATGTCTTCTACCCCTTTCCTAGAATTAGTACAACTCTTAACTGTGCCAGTCCCCAGTTCACCAGCTTTGTATCCAGTCGTCATCTCATTCAAGTATGGCTTTACTTGGTGACACTGGCCATAGCTAAATTACTTGGCATGTTTGACTTTTGACAATAACAGAAATTGTTTTGGATTTTGTTTTATTTCCAAAAAAATGTATACAATGTCAGAACTTCACATTTTATATACTAGTATCTGGCTATTAGTATTTTACAGGAACCATAGTTCTTGGTGACTACATATATATATATATATATATATATTTTTGTGACCTTTTTTGTAAACTAAGTGCCGTTTCAACGTTACAATCATTTTTAGAGTTATTGTAATCAATGTGAATATCATGTTTTTTCAAATCTGTTCTGAGCCTATAGTGTTTGCTTTGTGAACATAAGTGTATTGTATATATTCTGTATAGTTATATTGTACTGAAATTAGCTTGTTTGATATAAGGAAAATATGTATTGAGTACCTTTTTGCTAGCCTGATTGTTTAATCTTTTTAAAAAAGGTTTAAACTTTTTTTAAAAAAAAAAAAAAATTCTTTAAACTGGCCTTTATTACATGGTCACACATAAAGTTGCAGTTAGGAAAGGGATGGGCAGGGAAAAACTAGTTTTGAGTGTCTTTAGATAGAAACATGAGACTAAGGTTTGGTTTTGTTTTCGTTTTCTCATTAAAATATCTTATGCTTTATGGAATAAAACTTCCTGCTGTTGTTATTTATTGTTTGCTGGGCGGTGGTGTTGGCTGAGGTCATGTGAGTGAGAAAAGGCATCAGAGTAATTCATTACTTAAATAATTATCTACTTAGAGTACACAGAGTAGAGAGGGTTACATTAGACAGCACATGTCAATTTTTGGTGAAGTAGAGCTTAAGTGCAAAGAACTCAAAAACACCATACCCCAACTTGGAAGGAGAGTATAAAGGCAGCTAGTTAGACGAAGTCATCCAATCCTAGAGCTATTGAATCAGGTTCTTGTATAAAGCTGGGTACTAATGGGTGGGTTGCATCTTTCAGAGTTGCTCTGATTCTTTCTGAAGTCGTATTTTATTGACTAGAGACCAATTGGTGCCATTTCGATGATATCTTACAACCAGGGAGTGAAAAGCAGGTACCTAACAGGGGAAACAGCTCATTGCATAGGTAATGAGTCCATGAGATCCTGAGGAAGGAAAAGTTTTCTAACTTTAGATTCATTGATGTGGATTTTGACAATACTGGTCTTTAGAATGACAGTAACAGGCAAAGAAAATTATTTTATTGACCTCAAGCTACCTGGATCATTTTAGAATTAAGTTCAGAGAGGAAGAGGGTAAATTTTAAGAAGCATACTCTTTCATTCCAGTGTGTTGAGCATTTTTAACAATTTGCCAAATCATTCAAGGTTAGAAAATGTTGAGTTCTTCAGTAGCCTTGACTACAGATGATGTATATAAGTATAGAATGAAGAATTCAAAACAGATACATCCTTGCCAGCCATGGTGGCCCACATCTGTAATCCCAGCACTTTGGAAGGCTGAGGGAGGAGAATCACTTGAGCGCAGGAGTTCAAGACCAGCCTGGACAACATAGGGAGACGTTGTCTCTACAAAAAAAAAAAAAAAAGAAAAAGCTGGGCCTGTGGCATGCACCTGTAGTCCCAGCTACTCAGGAGGCTAAGGCGGGAGAATTGCTTGAACCTGGAAGGTCAAGACTGCAGTGAGCTGAGACTGCACCACTGCACTCAAGCCCAGGTGACAGAGTGAGAACCTGTCAGTTGACTTTGCATACTTGCGTATAAATTGTGTACCAGAAAGATTCCTTTCAGAGAATGATACTAAAAGTAATGACCAAAGATGTGTATCTCCTCAACTGATAGAGCAGAAATTAATAGTTTGGGCTTTTTCTCTTTTGAACAGGAATTTTGGTTCTGAGAACTAAACTTCAGAAAATTAACAAAATCTACAGACATACCAAAGGTTTAAAGGGGGAGAACTTGCTTGTAACATCAAACCCCAAAATTTAATGTAATTCTTTTTTGGGAGAGTAAACTTCTATAGAGATAGAAAAACTAACACAGGGCATATTCAGTCTTAGAAAGTCAGTCCTCTTGAGCAAATAGATTTGTAACCAGGGTTTGAACACTTTTAGGGACAAAGGGAAAGCTGTTTTGTTGTTGTTTTCTTAAATTCTAATTCATTTACTTGGATTTTTCTGCAAAATTAAAAATTTTATACCTATCTATTTTGTAGATAAGAGAGTGGAGCTGGCATTAGCATCATTTTGCAAGGCTTCCTCACTTAATCTAACCATGCCCTTTCTTCCACACCTGCCTAATTTTTTCCATGACTAACATTTCTGGCTGCCTTTGGCTGGAAGTCATTTAGTAAGTGAGTGTCTCATTTACCAGAGATCCTTAAAATTAGGCTCAATATCCCACACACACCCCTAGTAAAGGGCCAGCTCAAATGACTTGGCCTTTGACCATTCTTGACATCTAGAGACCCTCTGTTGAGAAAGTTGCCTTAGGACATAGCAAGAAAATATTACACCAAATAAATGTTCTGTAGCCTGTTTTAAATGGGGGCTCAGACAAAAATGCTCACTTTGACAGTTCAACAGCAGTACACATAGTAGGACCTGTGTACATAACTTTCATCCAGGAACAGAATTCTTTGTTGAGTGCAAATGACTCACAAAATTAGTAAACAATCCTTTTCTTTCTTTTTTTTTGAGACAGTCTCGCTGTCGCCGAAGCTGGAGCGCAGTGTTGTGATCTCAGCTCACTGCAACCTCTGCCTCCTGGGTTCAAGAGATTCTCCTGCCTCAGCCTCCCGGGTAGCTGGGACTACAGGCACGTGCAACCACACCTGACTAAGTTTTTGTATTTTTAGTGGAGATAGTGTTTCACCGTGTTAGCCAGGATGGTCTCTGTCTCCTGACCTCGTGATCCACTCACCTCGGCCTCCCAAAGTGCTGGGACTACAGGCGTGAGCCATCACACCCAGCCTAACAATCCTTTTCATTTTGTTTTACAGTTTATAAAATGCTAGCACTTTTTAGCTATGTGATCTTCAGATACCCAGTAAGATAAACAGGAAAAGTACCAACAGATGTGTGGTCCACGTAAATGGTGCCCTTCCTGCCCATTACAGGGGAAAGATCCACTGAGGAATCAGGCCGTGAACAGGGCTGGAGTCTCTGTGGACTCCGCTCTCTCCCAGACTCTGTTCTCCCTGTTCCTGGAAGAACAGGAATTGGGGTTCTTTTGTGCATTGGCACTTTGTGAAACCTTTGAGGGAGGATAATGCTGCAGGGACATGGGAATTCTCCAGGTGGCTGTTTGTATCTCAGTTATCTTAAAGGAGAGCCATTGTAACTTTTTGTTACGGTGTGAGAATTGCTTATGACCATTTTCTAAAGATGTGCACTGGTTGATGTTTTCTCATGTGGTCTTATCTATTTAATACCTCCACAAGGGTTATCCTTCCCACCCCTGTTGATAACATTTTCCATTATTCATCCCTGCTGCTACTAGCTGAATTCGAGCCTGTGTTGTTTCTGGCCTAATAGCAGCACCAGCCGCCTTGGTGCCATTCCCTCCCTTCAGCTGGGCTTCCTTCCAGTCCATCCTTGGCGTTGCTACTGGAGTCATCTTTCTACTCAGGCCACTGCCCTGCCTAAAGCCTCCCAGCCCCCGCTTCCGCGGAACCCGCCCCTCAGTCCTCACACTCCCCTTCTACCTACCTCCAGTTTGAGGTTGACTCACTCCTGTAGATTCCCATAGCAGATTTTGTTTGGCTTTACCAAACCACTTCTCAGCCACACAGCCTTGCAAAATCTACCTCAGAGTAGTTGTGAGAATCAAGTGAGTTATATGTAAAATGCTTAAAACCATGCCTAGTATATTGTGACTACTTCAGAAACCTTGTCTGTTATTACAAGACGGGCATCACAGTCGTGTGTCTCCCTCACCTGATGACATCCTTGATGTCAGGGAATATGCCTTCTATGTGTATGTCCTCTGTAGTACCTGGTACAGAGAACTCAAAAACTATCAAATGAATGATTAGATGTTGCCAAGAAGTGGTCATAATCCCCATGTACGACAGTGCTTAGAGGTATTTACCCGGGAACTTTAGGACAGAATACCTAGAATTGTTTTCATTAGGCCGCCAGATGATTATACTCAACTCTCACTTCGGCAAATGTCTCAGAGTCTCACTCGTTTTTAAATGAGGGTCTGAAATAGAAGGCTGTATGAGTTATGAATTAATACTAACTTTAATCCTTCAGAACAACGGCTATCAGCCTGGCTAGAATTTCCCCAAACTGTTCTTTAGGACACTGGCATCTGCCGTTTTTCTCCCCTTCACGTGGTTTCCTCATCCATTAAGTTCATGTTAAGGATCACTTCTTAAGGAACCTTTCCCAGAGACTTTGTATTATGTTCACATAACGTCCTGCGCTTCTGTTACTATGGTTACTGACTAACAACAGCTGGACTAACCCCCATTACGTTAAGTTCCACTAGGACAGTGACCCTGTCTGTTTCTTGTACCAGGGGGTCCCCGGGCCCAAGGTTGTTTGAATGAATGACATCTCTGCCCTTAAGGAGCTTATGGAAGTAAGCAGAAGTAAAGAATTACAGAAATACAACTGATAGAAATAACTTTGCCGTGAGAGAAACACCGAAACGTATACTTTGGAAATTTGAAGAAGAGGGAGACCTGGCTGCAGGGGTGAGGGAAGGTAGCATGGCAGAGGCACCACTTGAGCTGGGTCTTCCTTGGGAAGAGATGTGGGATTTGTACAGACAAGTGACGGAGAAGGAGATGACTCCAGGAAGGACTATGCAGCCTCAGAGGTTGAGGGAACAGGAGTGTAGCTTGCTGAGCCCTGCAGGATCCCTGAAGGGGAAGAGTGGAAGAAAAACCTTATCAACCAGACTAGCTGGCACCAGGTCAGAGGAGGTCTTCAGAGCTCCAGCTATATTTGGTAGGAAATCAAGAATCATCTCACATTTTCGAGCACAGAAGCATCAGAGTCGTCTCTAGAAAGATGAAAAGCAGATTAAAGGGATGCATATGGACTTAACTGAGACCCCTGAGTTACAACAGAACTGCGGGTAAGAACCCAGAAGAAGGGGATGGGAGCGGGGCTGGGAGCGGGGCTGGAGAGGAAGGCGTGTTGTGTTCGTGACATCGGGGCCGAAAGAGACACGGTAGTTGGGGAGAGTGGAGAGAGGTGGGCCTGATCTCCAGTCCAGGTGTCACCTCTGCACAGTAGAGAATAGCTGCTGTATTCTAAGCTGTAGCAACACCAAGTATGTGGCCTCCTTAAATGCTTAGGCAAACGCCCTTTTTTGTTGTTGGTTTTTTGACAGGGAACTGCCCAAGAAAATGGAGCAAGAATTAGGCCAAGTTCAAGAGTTGGGCTTCAGAATTAGGCTAAAGGAGAGATTTCCCCCTCCCCATGCTGCCCCCCGCCCCCCCCCCCCCCCCGCGGCACCTGCCCCGCTAATCCCAGCACTTTGGGAGGCTGAGGTGCGTAGATCACCTGAGGTCAGGAGTTTGAGACCAGCCTGGCCAACATGGTGAAACCCCAACTCTACTAAAAGTACAAAAAATAGGCGTGGTGGCGGGCACCTGTAATCCCACCTAGTGGGGAGGCTGAGGCAGGAGAATCGCATGAACCCGGGAGACGGAGGTTCCAGTGATCT